TGCGAGGGAGGGGGGCAGCGGACGCTCGTCGACGACGGTGCTGGCAGTGGGCGGAAGAAACAGGCAGCATGGCAGGGCCTCGCGCTGGCAGCCAGAGCCAGAGCCAGAGCAGAGCAGCACGGTGCCTGACACAGAGCATGTCCGTCTCCACCATGTGCGCGCTAGCTTCCTAACTGCCAACTCAATTTGCTGCCGCTCTACCGTTTTCATGCTCGTCGTCTGTCCGTGCGACGTTCGCGAAATGACCAACCGTCATCCCGGCCATCACCATCACCACCATCGCGCTCGGTGTCCTCTCCGCCGCTCCATCTCGTCGCCCACTGCTGGCCGTCGTGGACCGCACGCACCCCAAGTCACTCCCGGACGCCATCGCACCACCAGCTCGCACGATGGCGCCTCGTGCCGGCCTCGCTTCTCATGGCCGTCGACGGGCCAGAATCGATGATTTTCTGCTTCGGGACATGATTTCTCCCATTCGGGTTTAACCTTTGTACCACGGCAGCCTTGGCTTCGCATCTTGAACTCTACGAGTCTCGGCATCCGGCAGAGCTTGTCGCTAGTTCTGATCAGATCGTGCTTCATCGTAGCTTGTCTGTCGTTGTTGTGAACGATGAGCGCCAGGACAATTCGAACATTCGATTCGAGTGTCAACATGTGTTGCATGCTGCAACTCCCATGTGTCGGGAAGTGCACTCGCGATGTGCGCCGTTCCTGCATCGACATGCCTGCAATGCCATGAGACAGTGGGGCTGGACCTAGACCTGCTCGCTTGCCGGTCACGTTCGCTCGTCTCCATATTGCACATCGAGCTCGCTTCGTTTCCGACTGCAAGATTATGCAGACATGCAACGAACGATAGAGATTATTAGCGATGGAGACTGGCCGGAGGGGGAGCCCGGAATAACACCCTCCATCGATTCGACAGTCTATACGGGGCAAGGATAGAGAGACAAGATGAAGCGGCGGTAGCATCAAGGTCGCGATGAGCTATCGTTTCATCCAAGAGCGCGTAGACTCTAGCGACCTGTGGCTTCGAACGATTTGTGCGCAGGCCAAATTCATGTGTGCGAGATATCCAACAGCTATAGATGCTCTGTCACCTCAAATCCAACCTTCTCGCTCCCGCGCCCTCTCTCCGTTCCGTCGTTGGCCCCACCAATTCATACTCCTCTCCCTGAGCCCACCGCTTCCTTTCCTTCGCACCGCTTTGAACTCGAATCGACTTTGGTCGAGTTTCTCGCGCAGACTCATGGCCGTAGCGGACCGTTCGCTTCGTGCATCCATGCTGACGTCTCGCGTGGTAGAGTCAAGCCCGAGGACATAGGGAGGAATGTGCGATCCCTTCGACGAGAATGGGCCATGCGGCCTGATATTTTGATCATCAGGCCATCGAGTCCTGGATAAAGCTTCAGAACTCTGACCGTGCCGTAAATAACCTCTCCAAGCTTCTAGTCCATCTTTCAGGCTGCCGGCAGTCTGATTGGGAGGGGTCGAATATGATAGGACATCGGAGGTGTCAGCCATTTCAGTACTTCTCGTGCCAAATGCCATCCTCGCGAGGCTCGTGTTGCTGGCTACCTTGATCAACGCTGCTCCTTTCTTCAACTTCGGGCCATATTTTCGTGGAGACGAATCGATCACTTCACGGATCTGCTCCATATCGACCTCATGCTCACGTCGACGTTCGAGCGACTGCAGCCTCGGCGCAGCAAAGGCACGACCTTGCGCATAAGATGTTTTCTGAAGCGGTCTCGTAGTGGCCGTGGGGGATGAGCAGGACCTTTGGCGACCATGGCTAGCATCCTGTCTGCGCGAACGTGATCGGCTCAACTGACGGCACGCACGCTTCTCCTCGATTGCAGCCGCGACTTGCGCCACTGAGTTCGGCACCACATCCAGTGAATTCATGTGTATGAGGATGATCGGCAGTTGTATGGAGACTAGTTTTGAACTGGTCATTGACACCGTGACATTCAAAAAGTATCGCACTTCAAACCATTTGCCGCATCGAACCGTCGCGTGTCCCCGTGGGACTTCGAGCTCACAGGTCCTTGTCTCGCTCGAATGTGATTCGACACCGTGCCACCCAGCGGTTCCAGACTTGAGTTGCGTCTTGGTCAAGATCGCCTGTTCGTTTGATTCGAATATGCGCGCTTGCCCGGCTGACTTCTCCAATGTCATCGCAGCGGCATGTTTGTAAAACAGTATATCGCGCTCTAGCGTGAGCTCCAGCTTTCTCACAGGCCTGCAGCATTTGTTCACAATGTGCAAGTCAACAAAGATGCTGCTGCCACTGACCCAAACTTGTCTGTGGAGTCCAGCAGTGACCTTCAATGTCTCAGATGCAGCCGAACGAGAGAGTGACAACTCATCTGACGCTGTGAGCGGGCTCGGAAGCGATGTCAACGCCTTCTCTGGATCATATGTAGGCAGTACATGCACATCGTGCGACGTTCTTACCCGGTAGTGTTTTCCAGTCTCTCGGATCACTGCTGTGGCGGCGAGCATGAAACGGATATTTGCATGCTTCGACTGAAAGGGTGGGGGCCCCGTATCAAGTGGCAGGCTGATCATGAACGGGAGAGCTGATGTCGAGGGTAGTAACGACCAGAACTTTTCTTCCGCACAGAGTGTGCCAGACTCAACCATTCTGGCAGGCGGAGGATGCCTCTTGTCTATTAACTCAGTACCGAGAGCAAGGAAAGTGGCCTTCCGATTGTTGCTGATTTGCTCGATGCCAAGTAGGTCCACAGCCAGTCCTCCGATAGCCAGAGGACGCCGTCCCCTGAACTGTTCATTGTCGTCCACAGTAATTTTGACGACGCCTTCTACGCTGCCTCCGCCAACGAAGATAGGCGCCGAGACTTGGAGCTCAAGTCTAACGCGCGGGTGCTTGTGCTGTGGGAACTCGAGGATCTCCAACGGTGGTGGTGCTCGGATCTGAGTGCGCGAAGGTATTCGGCGAGCTGCATCCGAAGTCATTGGATCCAATCTGAGCCCTGCCTGCTTCACAGGCGACTGGCTGGGCCCATGATTTGGGACGAGGAATTGCTGCTGTCGATCCGAACCTGGCGCCGACTGTGTGCGCACAGATGGTTTCCTCGAATGCCCAATGGGTCCTTGACGTTGAAAGGAAGATGACCGCTGTGGTATGCTTGACGGAGGTATGCTAAAGAAGCTTGCTGGCTCGGGGGTGCTACTGTAAGATGACGAACCCCCTTCTGGCGGTTGAATCCCTGGATTTGGTGGAGATGCTTTTGCTGCTTTCGCAGACATCGAGGTAGCAGCTTTCAGCGAAAGAGATCTTTTGATGGACAAGCTGCGCTTGGCAGAGCCTGCCTCGGACGCTTTGCGCCTGGGCTGCGGTGGATGGCGAAGCATAGCATGATCAAGGATGCTCGGCTCGCTCAATTCGCGTATGTCTGACAGCGGCCGTGGGATGAGGGAGGACCATGGTGCAGGATCGGGGGTCTGGTGTCTCGGAGGCGCGGGTGGAGGCACGATCTCTTTCGGCGGAGCCGGCGCAGGCGGTGGAGGCGGAGGGGGTAGAGCTGAATCTGCCCCTCTGAGATGAGGAGGCGGCGGTGGTAGTTCATAGATGGGCTTCGGCTTGGAGATCTCGTACCTGCGCGGTCGTTTCTCCATTGCAGTCACAGCGTCTGTCCTTCATGATTCGTTTCTGTGTTGCTTTTGGTTGCGACATGGCTCTCGAATGCGAGCAGTGCAGGAGCGTGGCTCGGCTGGCAACAGCGGGTACGCTTGAAGAGTCGAATTTGCACGGAAATGGCATATGTGTCGGTGTCCTGCCCGCTTGTATCGTACCTGCCATCTCTTCGTGAATGCTCGTCAGTGTGCATGCCGTTGCATCAAATTCGGGGAGAGCTTGCAATCTGTCGGGCTGCCAGGTGAAATTGGAAATTTCTCATTGACGAACACTTGGTGCACACAACACCTACCACTACCGGCCCCTGTCTGACGGGGACAAACGCGTCCAGTGGGCCGAGATGCTTCTGCTAGCAGCATCAGTTTTCTCACAATACTTGCCTGCTTCGCTCCACGAGCGTGACCGGATGCTGGTCTCTGGGATCACCGCTGTTGTTGGCTGTGAGCTGATTGGGGCGTGCTCAGCTGATGAGGCGACGACAGCTGTATGCCGGTATGAAGTGCACGAGGCGTCCGCTAGACTGCCCTATATCGGACGCTTGTGAGGATCTCGCAGTCCCCAGTGTGAGCGTAGCAGGCATCGCCCACGGACACGTCAGTCGCACGCGGTCAGCTGGCGTCACAGGCAGCGCACTGCTGACGCTCGACACGCCTTCGACGTCTTCTAGAAGCTGTGGAAGGTCGTTGCAGTATGCACGGCGGTGTTGGAGGCCGAGGAGAAGCACGAGTGCGGAGGAGGCGCTTGGCCGAGTCGAGCAGTCGCAGCCTAGCGATCCAGATCCATCCAATCCGATGGCACAGGCGCCGCTGCCACGTCCACGACCACGAGCAAATGATGATCACGCTGCGCACGTTGCGGCAGGCGTACAAGACCGCTCGCCGGCCTCTGCTCCCATGCAGACGCTGCACTGCACGGCGGCTCTCTTCCCCACCATCACCGTCACCGTCACTGCAGCGCCGCCGCCCGTGGGCGAGGGTGGGCCAAGCTCACAAAGTGCCGGCGACGAACGGCTTCCTGCAGCAGCGCGCGAGTTGCAGCTCCAGAAGGAAAATTCTGCTGCTGCTGTGCGGGCTGCTTCTTTCCCAGCGCCCATCTCAGCGCCGATTTTCGCTGCCCATGTGACCGGCCCTCTCCTCCTCAGCGATCAATTTCTCTTAGCCAACTCCTTACCTCACCACTCTTCTCTCTCACTCGCGCACTGCAAGGTTATCGCTCTCTGTACTAAAGGTATTACCAATTCGTGCTCTCCGCCATTCACACCACTGGCCCGTTCACCTGGGTGCAAAGGCTTAGCGTAGCCTTTGCTGGCCTCTCACTGGCTTTGCCGATTGCCTGAATCGGGTACCTGCAGCAGATGGGCGATAACAGCCTCGACGACGACCACGATATGGCTGCCGCCTCCAAGGTCGAAAGCGCGCCTGGCGAGGCAACGCCCAGCTCCATCGAATCGACTCCCGAGGCAGAGGCTGGCCCCGAACCACCCCAGGAACCCGCTCAACCCCAGAAGCGCAAAGGTGGTCGCAAGCCCGTGAGTCCTACTCTCCGCATGACTCGTTCTGTTATCGCTCACATCGCCGCTGACCGACTTTAGATATATGCCACGTCGGAAGAGCGGAAGCAGCGTAACCGACAAGCTCAAGCTGCATTTCGCGAACGCCGCACCGAGTACATCAAGCAGCTCGAAGCAACCATCAAGGCCAATGAGGAGAACCTGGGTGGGCTGCAGCAGCAGCATCGTCAAGCCGCCGATGAGTGCCTAATGCTAAGGTACAAGAATTCCCTGCTGGAGAGGATTCTCTTAGAGAAAGGTACGCTACTGTCCAATGTGCCCCGCAATTCCTTCTGACGTTCGTAGGCATCGATGTTCAGGCCGAACTTCAGATGAAGACTGGAAGTCCAGTGCTTGGTCCCGGGTTCATGCATGGTGCTACGACCTTACCTCAACAGCCTCCGTTGCAGCGCACGACGCTACAGCGAGCGCAAGCCCGGCGCTCTGGGCAGAACTTCTTGCCAAAGCTTGCGCCTGGCCAAGCCAGTGCGGATATGGGCTTCTCAACAGCCTCACCTATGGCTCATCCGACGCCTTCATCACACGCTTCCTCGCCAAGTCAGCTATCTACAAGATCACCAGCTCTTCAACAAGGTGCCATGACTTCGCCTGCCTCTGCGGGTCTTGCTCAGCCGCAGGGCCAAACGTTCCAGAACTTTACTCGCTCATCGCAGCAACCTAATCATGCATTCTATCAAGCCCAGCAGCAGCCCGCTGCCGCGCAACATCGACGGCATAGACCAACCCCATCGTCAACATATCCAAGTAGCGCAAGTGGAATTTCGAACGTGTCAAATGGCAGTCAGGCACTGCCACATCCTGGCAGTTCTGGGGGAAGTGCACCACCTTCCGCGAGTGCCTTTTATCCAAGTCCATTTCAAAAGCATTTTGAGCAGCTTGGTGAGTTCAGCTTTCCAGCCCAGGTATGGCCTCTGTTTTTTCAAGTCTAACTGTGCGAGCACAGATCAGGAGTACGACTCTCACGCAGCGCGCTCCGGGTTCGAGGAACCTGAGGACGACTCGCATACAAGTGCCATTCGGTCACCGGAGGATCTGTCAGGACAGTATTCCAACCAATTCGATCAACAAGCGGCACAGCAGCATGGCGAATACTATCAGTCAGCGCACGCGATACCTGGACACGCACACATTGCCAATCAGTCACAGTACGAGCAGCCCCAAATGGTGCCACCCACGAGCCACCCGGGGACCGGCGACTACGTTGATCCAAACGATCCGATGCTCGACGCGGATCCTTTCGGCTTGAGCGCTTCTATGCATTATCCTCAGTCATATGCCGGCCCACAATATCACGATCAGCGGTAATCATCAACGACTTCTACTTGTCCGGCGTTTAGGAAAAGGTAATCAAAATATAAAGGCACTCATGAGCAATTGAAAAGCTCCGCAATAGCTCTGCGGGCTACGAATGACACGGAAGGAAATGACCAAAAGTACAGTTGCAGCATTGATTGGAGAGGAAACGCATAGCGAAGGTGTTTTAAGCCCATCATTGTTTGAAGCACTTGAAAGAATCTGAGTTTTACAGCTACGAACGTTGGATGTCGCAGGCAACAGTTGGAGCTTCAACTTCCAGGAGACCAAGGAGGGTCAATTTGCACATATTCACTATGCTCCGAGGTGCGGGGATGGACAGCCATTGTTTGAATCGGTAGATGTGTAATAACATCTATTATATTCCAGAACTGAGCAGCACCTTTTCTGAACTCGGCGTGAAACTTGTGACTCTGTAGGCAACTGATGTCGTCTCCAACCCGTAAGCTCCGATATCGCCGCAGCTCAAGAACATGTCTCACCACCATCAGTCCACGTGAGTGGGACAGAGCGTTCAATTCCTCGTGCTTGTCACGACTTCGTGAAAGACTCTTGCTGGGCTTAAGCTGAGAGCACTTTGAGTTGATGTCAGACCTTTGAGCGCTCAGGTTCCAGATTTGACCCAGGAGAATGCTGACCCTCTGGAGACTTATCGTCAATGGAAGTAGTGTGCAATCGATATCAATTGAGCGTCAAAACGAACGAGTAGGATGAGAAAAGAGAAATGTGAATGCAAACGTTAAGATTGGCATTTTTGTTCTTCGGTTACACTCGACAGATTCATAACTCGCCATGAGGCGCGCTTTGCATTAGTCGCAGCCTCCTGTTCGCGATCGTGCTTTTCTTTGGGGGCACGTCAACCGTGGTGGGATTCATAGGCGCTTAAGCACCGAGCGCTGGGAAAGCACTGGAGTCATTGGCGTTGAAAGTGGAGCCACGTGGACCACCGCGAGGCGCTCCTCTAAAGTCGCCACGGTCTCCACGGCCACGTCCACCACCACGACCTCGGCCTTCGCCACGGAAAGAGCCACGACCCTCTCCACGGCCGCGGCCGCCGCGTCCACCGCGTCCACCACGGTCACCAGCATCTGGTGCGGCGTAGTACTGGCCGTCAATGTTGATGCGCTCCTTCTCCTTGACTTCCTTGACCTTCTTGGTCTTGCCACCACCGCCGACGAAGAAATCTTCCTGCTCGCGGTTGACCGCCTGACCTTCAGGGAACTTGGTCTTGGATCCTTCGTTGGCCTTGCGGATGGCAGGTGACTCGCCAGAAAGGGCCAGCTTCTTCTCGGCGAGCTCCTTCAGGTAGTCGTCGTAAGACTTGACCTTCTCCTCAGGCTCGCCGGCAGCATCCTCGCCAACCTCGCCGTCTGGACCGTTCGTGAATGCTGGGTCTGCAGCGCTGGTGTCGGGAGTGAAGCCAGGCTCGTTGTTAACTTCAGCCTTGGCAATGGCATCGCCAGCGGACTCGTCTGCCCACTCGGACTGGCCGTCCTTAGCGCCCCAGCCGTGTGCAGCTTGCTTCTCTTGGTCACTTTGATATGATCAGCGTAGTCGGGTGAGTATCCGTTTGTGATCCCTACCCAATGCCAGTGTGGCTGTGACGGTCGTCGCGTGGAGCACCACCGCGTCCACGTCCACCGTAGCCGCCACGGCCTCGTCGGTCACCACGTCCACGTCCCTCGCCGCCGCGACGCTCGTAGTCTGGTACGTGGGTTAGCATTGGCAGCGAGAAGGTTGCCTGAGAGTTGTCATTTACCCCTAACTGGTCGAGAGTGACGATCGCTGCGAAGGCCGTCATCGCGGTTCTGCTGGTCGACACGGCTGGCGCCTGGTAGAAAGCTATTAGGATGCAGTCCTGGTGCTGTCAAGATGGCGGCTGCGCGAGCGAACAGCGTTTGTCTCGCTCGAGCCGCCATGTGTTGTAGTTCGTACCTTCGCCTCTTACAGCGCCGCCACGTCCACCTGATCGTGCGCCACCCTCTCGGGCAGCTCCCTCAGCTGGGCCATTGCGCTTTCCAGTTCGCGGGAGTGTCTTGTCGACGACCTTAGTCGGGACTGGGGGAGTGGCCCGCTCGGGGTCGAGCTCCGGGTCGTTGCCTGGGGAAGCAGTCAGCACGAGAGAGGTTCTTTTCGATGGTCATGGACGGCGCGGTGTACCCAGGAGCTCGTAGAGGTTCTGTTCGCGATGAAGTCAGTCGATCAAATTCTGCAAGGCGTGTGCCGCCCAATGGCTGGGACGCGACGCGAAATGCGCAGACTGCGCGCCTGGCGATTGTCGGTGGTGAGAAGGACATACCTTTGATACAATGGCGTCGCTCATTTTGGATGTCGCGGTCACGAGCAGCGAGACATGATGCGAGTGCGTTCAAAGATGGATGGAGTGGCCGCTCAAGCCCGCACAGACGTTCGACGAATTTGGGTGACAGATCAGTGGGCTCCACTCAAACGCCAAGCTTCGTTTCCTCCTCCTCGACTTCCTCCTCCCTCGCGACAACAACAATGACGGAACACAACAGCGCAACGGGCAAATGCAGAGGCAGTCCGCCATGCGTCTGGCGCGGGGCCGCTGCATACCGACACTCCCTCAGTGCGTCGCATCACGCATCAGTGACTGACAGTGCCGAATCCGCTGCGTGCACTGGCCTATGCACCGCTCTGTACCGTCGAAACACTGTGCAGTCAGACCGCTCGTACAGGGTGTGCGCTTGATTGCGAATGTTTTCCGTAGCAACGGCCAACAAGTTGACCGCTTCTGGTTCTGCAGCGTCCGCGAACCTGCGTGCTTGAGTTTATACTGAACCTGGACCTGGATCTGGACCTCTGCCCAGCACACGCCATCGCAATTGATCAGCGGATAACATCATTATTGACAATGTCCGGTAGCTGGTCGCTCAAGGCTTCGCGTCTTACACGTGGAAGGCGGCTGCGAGAACAGTTCTTCAAACGCGTGCTACATGCTCGACGATCGCTTAGAAGCTTTCGAGCCTCATACCAAGTCTATATTTGCATTGCACACGACAGCCTGGCGACTCCCATGCATCGATCAAAAAGGACAGATCGATGCGCAGTGCCACCGCTTGCACGCCCCGTGGACCGTGGTGCAGACTGCACAAGCTTGTGTCTCTCAGCACCAACGATCGAATCTTCTAACCACGCATGCCGCCATATCCTCACAAGTACTACTACACGTGATGTGGGCTGCTGGTCGGAAGTTCAGGATGCCGTGTACTTCCAAAGCAGTATTTGCACTAGCTCTGTGGCTTCATCCTTTTGGACACCAGAATCGACCAATCGAAGCTTCACCACGCTTGTTCATACGCTCTTTGCTTGGTCGATGAACTTCATCCTCGAATGATGTGTAATAATTCACCAGCTCGCACATGCTTACAGAACACCCCTACAGGACACCTCCGTCTCGCGGAAGAAAGGAGCCTTCCTCGAAGCCTCGGACAATCTTAGACTGAACCATAATTCCCTGTCGTGGCGGGCCCCACCAATCACGGAACTCGTAAAGGTCGTTGCTAGCGTAACTACACTCTGAAATGCGGACAACAGCTGCATGCGGCATCTTCCTTTCACAGCCTTGGAGATGCGTTTCAGCCTCTCAGGGCGCACTCGACGCGTAATGACCGACGTGATGCAGCAGGAAGTCGACAAGCTTAAACGCGCATCACATGCATGCTTCACCGTGCGATAGCCTTGCGAATGCATCCGCATCCCTTTGCTCTTCGTTCACGATCCGTGCCAAAACCAATGTTCCTCACGCTTGACGAGCCTGACACGGTTCAGCAGAATGCAATTGTTGCAACACAAATATGCAGAGAGGCGGTTTTCGAGGTGTCGTGTCTACGAAGCGGAGGTCTAGAACCGAATTGATGTGCATGATTACACGCCAACTCTATCTGACTTGACTAGATGCAATAGGAATGGTGGCTTTGAGGCGTTCAGTGACCTGATCGTGTCACTGGTAAGCTAGCCTGGCCCTATAGGAAGAGGTCGTACCGCCCTTCGACATGAGAAATTTGCGACACTCGTCGGTTTACCCGCGGTAATTGCCCTCGTATTGACACATTCCTGCGCGACAGGGCAACAAAAGTTCGCAGCGACATCTGTCAACAGTCCGTCGCATCAACAAGAACCTGGTACATTTGCCACAATGAAGAGAATCGCGACGGCAGCGGCCGTGTTGGGCTCAGGTGAGCTTGTTGCACCTGTTTTGTGCAGTCCATTTTCTAACATTTGATAGCATCTCTTGCCACAGCGCAAGCATCCCTAGCGAGGACATGTCCAGAAACGAACTTATGCTACTCTCTCAATATTCCCCAATCGACAGTCGAAGCCGATGGACAAGGCGATATTTATTTCCAAATGTCCGCGCCTACATCGTACCAATGGGTTGGGCTGGGACAAGGCTCACGCATGTCCGGGTCTAACATCTTCGTGATGTACGTATTCTCGCTTTGGACTGCCTAGTTCTGGTCCGACATCTGTGCTTGTCGTCAGCGCGAACAGGCAGAGAAATTCCGGAGGGACTTCTTAGTGCGAGTGGTCTTGCTAACGATCAAGATAGGTACACTTCCAGTAACGGCCAAAATGTCACAGTATCGCCACGCCTTGGAACAGGCCATGTCGAACCACAGCACGACACTAGCGCTCAGATCGAAGTCCTCGAAGGTTCAGGAGTGATGGATGGCATGATGGTCGCCAATGTAAAGTGCTCAAACTGCAACGAATGGCAAGGCGGCTCCATGGACTTCACCGCTCAGAGTGCCAACTGGATCTATGCCTCCAGAACCGGCGACGCCCTCGACTCCGATGATGTGAGCGAAGGAATCCAGCAGCACAATCGTTACTCACCATTCCAATGGCAACTCGGTGAAGCTCAGGGTGGCGCCAACGTCAATCCATTCGTCGCAGCAGCGGTCACAACAGGCGCAGACTCCCAAACAGCCAGCGCTACGAATTCGCAGCCGAACGCTACACCAACCGGCTCAAGCGATACTGGCTCATCGTCCGGCAGCGCTTCTGATTCCGGCGACAATGACTCTTCCTCTTCGTCTTCCGGCTCCGCGACATTTTCCAACACGCTCGGACCATTCGGAGGTGATTCTGCATACGGAGACCGACTCACCACTGCACATGGAAGTCTCGCATCAATCGCATTCGTGGCACTATTCCCAACAGGCGCGATCCTCATCCGACTTGCGAACTTCACTGGTCTCGTTTGGCTTCACGCTGCGATTCAAGCCGTGGGCTATCTGGTTTTCATCGCCGCCTTTGGACTGGGAGTGTACATTGCTACTCAACTGAACGAGATCGGAACCTACCATCCGATCATCGGCATCGTTCTGTTCGTCATCCTCTTCACTCAGCCTGTGACCGGCCTGTTGCATCACCGATTGTTCAAATCGCGAGGAGGTCGAACGATGTTCACGTTTGTGCATTTGGGCATTGGACGAATTGCAATCATACTCGGCATCATCAACGGTGGTCTGGGTTTGATGCTTGCAGGGGCTGGAAGCTCGGCAAAGATTGCTTACGCTGTATGTGCGGCGGTTGTGGGCGTTGTTTATATTGCGTCCGCGGTGTTTGGAGAGACGAGGAGGAAGCAGGGACCTGTCAGCCCAGAGGCACAATTCAGCGAAGGGAAAGGCCATCGACAATTGAACAGTGTTGATGAGCAGAATCCCGGATTCGGTATGACCAATCTTTCGAAGGAGAGATGACCGGTTTCTAGCGCTGGGATAAAGCATTGTCTGCGGTTCCGATAAGTAAAGGAGATCAGTGACAAAGTGTGAACGTAGATGTTAGCTCAGTCAGAAGTCCAAGACGTTTAAGACGTTTGTGCAAGAAGTCAGTCGTTTCAGCTCCCTTCATCATGCATTCGCTATCTCTGCCGCTGTTGGTGCGACTGTGCATGCGCAATATGCATAGTTTCGTCTGCTGCTACTTCTTTCCCAGGGTCTGCACTTGGCTTTCACCTCAGCTGCATTTGCAACTTCTGTCTCTCGGGAAGGAATGCGATGATTCCTAATAGCAGCTGCAGTCTATCCTCGCCTTCTCGTTACTCGTCAACGCTCAGTGGTATCATATGTTGTGTCATGCCTTTCGAACTCGTGGAGGTGGGAGGGACCGCGTCTTCTAGAAGGTCTCTTCTTCGCCAGCAACTTCCGCATCTCCGTCCTGTGGAATTTCAAACCCCTCCTGTAGCACAAGTAAGCGTAACGCTCGTAGTTAGCATCATGTGGCCATGCACATACCTCAGTGGAATACAGAATTGTCTGTATTTGCTTGAGTATACTTCCATCATCCTCCTCGAGCGTAGGATCGGCTTCCATGGCCCCTTGGATGAGCAATTCGATGTCGCGAAGCTTGCTGAAGTAGAAGTCTCGCTCGCGCTCGAGACCTTGAACAGTTTCCATGAGCTCGGCATTCTTCTGTTGTAGAGCAGCAGTGGCAGCTCCACCGACAGCGCCCTGGCGACTACCAGCGCGAGGGCCACCCGCACCGAGCCCACCAGCAGGTTTTCGAGCGCCAGCCGAAGCGCCAGAAGTGCGTGAGCCACTTGGGGGAAGGGCTGGAGCGCCTCCGGCTGCTACACCCTTCCTCCTGCCGACAGCATCATAGTCGCCGCCAGGGTAGTATTGATCCCAGTATCGCTTCGTCCACTGCAGAAACTCGAGGTTGTCCTGCATCTTGCATTTCACCAACTGCTCGGTGGGTAGGGGTCGATCGACATGGTGTTTGCGGAAGGTGTTGCTGAGAATTTTGAAGTTCTCGAGATAGGCATATTCAGCGTTGACGTTGAACTTGACCCTGCTCATGGGCACATCGAGGAAGATCGAATCGTAGATTTGGCAATAGGCGGCTCTGAGGGGCTCGTCAGTACGGTTGACACAGGAGGATGGTCGTAGGCCCTACCCAGTGCCACACTGCTCGACTTTGGTGAGGTTGAGCTGTAACAGGCCGTTCACCCATGCCAGCAATTCTTGTCTGCGTCCATGTCAGCTACCCATCGCCGCCGCTGTCAACGGCGCTTGTATTGCCGATTGCTGGGATCGAGGACGCGGCAGCCTACCTGGATTCGCCCATGTTGGCGGTTGTCGATCGATGCGCACAGTCAGTCGGCGAGGGCGGGCGGAGAGCACGTGCGTGAGGGGTGGACAGGGAGCTGCGAATGTTGGGTCAAGATTAAAGAGGTGCAAGTGCTGGCGCATAAACAATCGTCTATGCTTGGCAGGCACGACAAACAGCGCCCCGCCATGATTCAGCGCCTCCTTCACTCCACCGCCCACCGCCTGCCGCGGAGGAGACGCTGTCCCGCCGAACTGCATCTAGCGGGCAAGGCCCTATGCCCAATGCACTGGCTTTCTATTCTTCAATGTTGTTCGCCATGATTATATTCGCGGAGGACACGCTGGACTCAACATATACATGTGATAAGAGGTAGGACCTCGCGTCTTGAGCGCCGAGGCTTCTTTTGTTCACGTCAACTTCCACCTTAACCATCTCTCCCAAACCACACTCCACCACCATGTCCAAGTCCGTACTCATTACCGGCTGCTCAAAAGGCGGCATAGGCCATGCACTGGCCCGCGAATTCAAGAAGCACGGCCTGCGCGTCTTTGCCACTGCCCGCAAAGCCGAAACCATTTCCGACCTCGCCGATCAAGGAATTGAGACGCTGTCTCTGGAAGTCACAGATCAAGACTCAATCGACGCTCTGAAGCATGAAGTTGAGAGCCGTACTGGAGGCCGACTGGACTACTTGGTCAACAATGCTGGACTGAACTGTACTGTTCCCGCGCTGGATGTCGAGCTCAAAGACATTCGATTGACCTTCGAGACGAATCTCTTCGCCGTCATTCGCATGTGCCAGGCATTCGCTCCACTTCTGATCAACGCCAAAGGGGCCATTGTACAAATTGGCTCGATTGCCGGTATCATGCCATACGTCTTCGGCAGTGTCTACAATGCTAGCAAAGCCGCTCTGCATTCTTACTCAAACACTTTGAGAGTCGAGCTAGAGCCTTTCGACGTCCGCGTTGTCACTGTTGTTACTGGAGGTGTAAGTGATGATCGCTGCCACCAGACACCACATTCTTCAATGCTACAGCTCGTTGTGTGCCCGAAAGCCTACTGCTGCCCACAATTCTGTTCCAGAATGTCGTCTTTGCGCGGACTGACGCTAATCGTCCCTGTAGGTCAAATCCAACATTGCCAGAACACATCGAACCTTGCCAGAAGATTCCATATATCTGCCACTAGCAAAAGAGTACAACGAGCGCCTAGTACACAGCCAGTCACAAGGCGTGCCAAACGAAGACTACGCGAGGCGTGTAGTATATCAACTCATCAACAAACCCAAGAGAGACCACATCTGGGAGGGTGGAAAGTCATGGCTCATATGGTGGGTGTCAAACTTCTTGCCGAGAAGAGTGATGGACCTCGTCATGAGCAGAATGTTCAAGTTGTGGAAGTTGAGGGGCACGTATCAGAAGAAGATCGCCTGACGGCGACTTTCAGCACATTTAGAGCGTCTGTATGGGGCTCTTGATTAAAGTAGTAGAGGAAAATGGCGACTGTACTAGGGTTTAATCTATCGTTGTTCATTCATGTTCATCCTTTCAATCTAGACATTATCATTTCCACGCCGTTTCGTGGCCTCAATTTGGGTATCCCGACGCCTTCGCTAAATTCACAAAAAGCAATCGTGCCAGCACATTCTGTTGAACCCTAGAACGCTGCAACCATCAGAAACGCTGCTCCTAGACAGAAAACCGATACAGCTAATTTTTCGCCAGCGCTTCCTGTCTGCTGTGGAGCCGCTATTACGGAGGACTGCCCAGATCTCTCCTCATCATCGCGCCCGCCACTAGAGCCAGGACTCGAAGTGGAGGTTACCAATGTGCTCCCTGCATCCGGTACTCCTGTTGGAACGTGCAGCCCCGTTGGAACATCCAACCCTGTCTGCGTGACATGCGTTCTGGGACTGAACAGTGTTGCATCTACCGTCATCGTAGGAGTGCTGCCCTCTTCGTTTCCCTGTCCTGGTCCAACCAGTGATTCCGCTGGTCGCTCGACATGGACACTTGGTGGCACAATGGTAATCGTCGTCTGTGGTGCCTCGAGTGTGGGGTGCGGGTTTTCGATATGCGGAGCTTTGGGAGAGTAAATGGGCTGATCGAGGCCAGTGCCGGTGCTCTCTATTCGAGGCGAATAATAAGTAGGATAAGACGTGTAGCATGAACAGCTTGGGGATGGAGCATCAGGCTTTTGTAAAGAGCCCTGAGAATGCATGGTTTGCACAATCTCCGCAGCTGGCAGACCTGTTGACGTGTTCGATGTTGAAGCATTATTTGAGACGGAGGGGTAGGCCCGTGGGGGATTATAGTCGATCACTGTGGCCGGGACAGGTAGAGGAGGAGTCTCTGGTTTCAGTCCTACAGGTCCGTCACAGCGGCAGACCAGTGTTGGCCCAGCTGCTTCTGTTATCGTCGGCTTTGGGGGAAGAAGGAGCGAGTCCTGCTTGTACATGGTTTGCACGATCGGCACGGGTCTGCACGAAGCGCATTCTCCCTCAGGCTGGCCCGCTGAGTTGTACTGAGATGTCATGGCTGGGGCCCCATCATAGCTTCCTCCGGATGGGTACAGCGCCGTTACCATTTTCCAGACTGTAGTCAATTCGATATACGCTGGGACATCGTCATCCACATATCCGTCTGGGTCGTGTTCGTTTGAATTCGTAGGTGTTGTCGCTAGGGTCGTCGAGGCTATTGTGGCCGTTACCGCGAACAAGAACGAATGAAACCTTGTCATGATATGCGATGACGAGCAAACGAGTGTGGTGTAGAGGCGTTCGTTTAACGAGTGGTGGCGTCTAGACGCGTCGGTCGCCTCGGAGGTTTCGTGTTTGAGCGCAAAACTTGTAGGTGGTGTGTAGCCTCAGGTCTGAAGACGAAAGGGTGGGCAGGAACTCGCTCGGCTTTAGACTGGCCAGGGCACTGGGACCGGTCTCTTGGACGATGCGGCGCGGATCCTACTGGGCAATGATGTGGCATGGCAGGCGTGCTATTTGGAGGAGCGCTCAGGAACGACCAGGTAATATCTGGTTAGCGACCAATGCTTAATGTCATGAGAGTTCGAGTGGCGCTGCCCAGAAATGCAACAGTGGCATCACAGCATGGAACGGTCATCGGTGCTCTGCAACTGGTTGTTCCTGTCGTCACAGTCTTTCACGTTGCGAATAATGCCAATATGTGTAGACAAGACTTGAACACTTCCTATAGGGAACGCCTTGTAGACCCACCTCATTTGGTCCCACGAGATATGGCATAAGTGACGATCAGCGTGATCCAGGATGTTCGCTGGCTCTGAGCGTCGCGTATCTGCGCAGAATGCACAAGCTGGTAAACACAAAGCCCATCTTCTCCTCGGCAGGGACGTGGAGTCTGTTCCAGGACGGAGATTCACCAGAGAAGCATGTAAAATGAACAGCTCGACTTCTGCTGCTGCTTGGGCGACTTCACTTGTAGCAGCATCATCGCACGGATGTCGTATCAGCCGTGATGATGCCTCAAAGGTATTTGTGACGAGCTGCTTTCCGTCGGAAAATGGTGTCAGCGTCGATCGTGCTGTCAGATCTCCACAAATCTGTCGACGGAGACCTCAGCTGAAAGGTTGGAGTAGAAGAGCGTCAGATCCTGCTAAAAGTGCAGCATGGCGGGACCAGCAGCATGCATCTACTGCGGCCCATTCTCATAATGTCGCTTGAGAATGAGGCCGCGACTGGGGCTTGGGTATCGCTCAAAGGAAGGTCATATGTCGAGAGAAGAGGGTGCATACAGAGCGCCACGAGACGTCAATCTGCATCTTCGCTGTTGTCTTCTTACACTGCTCAAATTCAGCGTTTTGGTGCTCGATGCACTCCGTCTCGTACAGCCCCTGCTGGCAACCTGGAGGCTGAATCTTTACTATTCTCGAGACATGGATGAAAGTTGCGAGCTGATCTCTGCGAGTCAGAAAGTTGACGCTGCCAATGTGCTTGCACACAGACCTGGTGGGCGCAGCGGACCGTCGGGTGAGCCGGCAGTGATCAGTGTTAGTGATCAGTGTTGGCAACGACCACGGCAGACGCGGCCGTTGCACATTGTGTTCTTCATGGCTGGCATTGCGGTCGATGGATGCACAGCGGAGTGTGCTGCACGATGGAGCTGCATAGAGCTGCAGCCGGCGCTGGCAGTGGCCGTCGCGGCGCAGCAGGAAGTGGCCATACAGGCGTCGAGGCAGGTCGACCTCGGCTCCATCGCAGACTCTCGGCGACGGTCTGCCTAGGCCCAGCGCGATGCGTGCGAATGCTCACGGCGCGTCAGACGCAAGCCGCGGGCGAAGCGACGATCATGGCCAGCTGCACTGACTAACTACTCCGTCGGCCTTCGTAACAGTTCTTCTACGTGATGTGTACCACTGCGTCTTGTGAGATTTGAGAGTCCAGCAAACAATCATGGCTCGTACGTGGACTGTCCCAACTGCTGCTGCCGTGCGAACTCTCCCAAGGCTGACATCCCAGCAGGACTCCCTCACATCCCCGTGTCGCTGCCTCGACTGACCGCAGGCACCGCCGTGCCGGCCGCTGCCATCGCCGCCTACCTCAATGGCCGCTACCAGATCACGACCGACATCTGGGCCATCACCAGCGCCATCTGGTACCAGATCTTCCTGAAGCGACTGGAGAAGCAAGACCGGGTCAATGTCTTCTACCGCTTTGAAGAGCTGGCGAAGACTCCAGGCCAGGCGGGCAAATTGTTCCTCGTAGTACCGAAAGATGAGAATGAACCCAATGCGCAGACCGAGTGGACATACGCCGAGGCGTACGAGCTGATCCTGAAGTATGCCGGGTGGTTGAAGGAGACACACGGCGTGAGGAAAGAGGAGATCATCGCTATGAACTTCATGAACAAGCCACAGTTCATTTGGGTGTGGTTTGCGCTCTGGTCTCTCGGAGCAATTCCAGCCTTTATCAACAGCAATCTGCGGGACAACGCCTTCATCCACTGCGCCAAGATCTCGACCACACGTCTTCTCATACTCGGTCCTGAGATCGCCGAGGAGGCCCTCACAGATGAGGCTGTTGCGGCCTTCAAGCCGGACAACAAAGGCCATGCAATCGACACAGTCATTCTCGATTCTGCAACGGAAGCTACGATCGCATCACTTACTCCATACCGCGCTCCTGATTGCGAGCGCTCCGGCGTGATTGTTGCCTCGACCTCCCTGCTCATCTACACTTCAGGCACCACCGGACTACCCAAGGCCGCAAACGTGGCATGGGGCAAGTCTCTCTCCGGCGTGAACTTCTTCCCAAAGCTGCTCGGCATGAAAGCAGATGATCGTTACTACACAGCCATGCCGTTGTACCATTCTTCGGCTTCGATACTGGGTGTCTGCCAAGTCCTAGGCCCGGGCAGCACTGTGATTGTGTCAAAGAAGTTTTCGCCACGGACTGTGATGAAACAAGCGACCGAGACCAACGCTACGATCATGCAATACATTGGTGAGATGTGCAGGTACTTGGTCTCCGGTCCTCCCACACCCTACGACAAGACGCACAAAGTCCGATTAGCGTTTGGTAACGGTATGCGACCGGATGTGTGGCAGCGCTTCAAGGACCGCTTCAACATCGGCACGATTGTGGAATTCTACGGCGCCACCGAAGGTCCTGGTGCATCATTTGTATACTCCAACAATGGATTCTTGCGAGGTGCTATCGGCAAGTCTGGCGTGATCTCAAGCACACTGTTTGGAGGCAACCAGGCTCTCTTGAAGCACGACCACGAGACTGACATGCCGTATCGGAACCCCAAAACTGGCTTCTGCGAGAAGGTCGCCACCAATGAACCAGGCGAGCTCTGCTACTGGCTGGACCCGGAGAATGTTAGCGATAAGTTCCAGGGCTACCTCGGAAACGACAAGGCGAACGGGTCCAAAATCATTCGCAATGTTTTCAAGAAGGGTGATGTATACTACCGATCAGGAGACTTGCAAAGAAAAGATAGCGATGGCAGGTGGTGGTTTGTGGACCGCATTGGTATGCAAACATCTTTCCTCTTCCTCACTCACAGCATTCACTGACATGATCGAAACAGGTGATACATACAGATGGAAAGGCGAAAACGTTTCTACCGCTGAAGTTTCCGAAGCGCTCGGTACTCATGCGGCTCTTCAAGAAGCCAACGTCTACGGTGTACAACTTCCCAACCACGATGGACGTGCGGGCTGTGCAGCGATCGGTCTATCCGAAGGCCAGAAATTCGACGATAACCTTGGAGCAGAACTTGCTGCTCACGTCCGAAGGCGTCTGCCCAGATATGCTGTACCCTTGTTCTTGCGACTGATGAAGGAGTTTGAAGTGACAGGCACGATGAAGCATCAGAAAGTATCGCTGAGAAACCAGGGTGTGGACCCCAGTAAAACGGAATCGGACGAGTTGTATTGGTTGCCTCCTGGAAGTGATAAATACACAAGATTTACAGAGGGAGATTGGAAGAAGATTGCTGGTGGTCAAGCGAAGCTTTAAGCATTGTAGCCAGTGGGATACGACGCAGGACAGATTTTGACTGTAGCATTTAGATACCATTTATTTCGCGACCTTGTGAATTGCAACGTAGAGGATGCACGGCATTACAGCAAATAAACGTTGACTGCTACCCTCGTGAGATAAATACGCGACAAAAGGTACATTGTGATTCAATTTCTCGTTTTATACAGCTTCGGGTAATGACTTTGGAAGGCCACACTACATAAAGTCACTAGCTCCCTTCCTTCTTTGTCCAGGCCCACTGCCAGCAACAAGATTCCTTCGACTAGGATGGATATGAGACTGATCCTCTTCGACATTGGCTTCTGGCTTTCTCGGCGGAGGGGCTTTGCGAGGAGGAGGCGATCGAGAAGACTCTGGGCTGCTCGTGTTCCTCCTTCGCTTCGCAGGCGGGCTGCGTCTTCGCGATGGTGGAGACCTAGATTCGTAGCTTGCGCTCCTGCCCCGCTTTGGTCGAGGAGAGCGGGATCTCGAATCTGCGCGGCCTGCCTTTCGTCGTGGTGGCGGACTTGGGGAACGGCTTGCTGTGCGGTCTCTGCGACGTGAAAGAGAGCGTGATCTGGAGCGTGCACGGCCTTTGCCGTTGGCTTTGCGTGGAGGAGAACGGGAACGTGAGACCGAGTCTCGTCTGGCCCGTGGTGGTGTGCGCGAACGCGAGACTGAACGATCACTGTAGCTGTCTCTGCGTCCGCGAGGAGATCTTCTTCTCCTGGGAGAAGGCGAACGAGACGTCTTTCTGCCATTCTTCTTTGGCGTTGGGGAGCGGGAGTAGCTTCGGTCCCGCCCACGCCTCGGCGGCGTACGCGATCTCGAACGTGACCGCGAATCTGATCGTGAAGAGTAGCTGGAATAGCTGGAATAGCTGCTGACACTCTCGCTCCGTCCTCTGCTTGGGGTTGGACTCTTTGCTGGCAGCGGCGCTGGCGCAGGCTTTGGCATATTCTTCAGCCATTCTCGCATGCCCTCTGTGAGCGGTCCCTTGCCAATCGCAGTGAAGAAATTGATGCTGAATCGAGTGTTCTTCGGATCGTCCGTTGGGAACATGCCAGTCAAGGCTGTCTGCAAATCGTCGCCCTTGAAGCGTTCCACCAACTTCTTCATGCCCATGCCCGCCTCGAGCTCCTCGATGAGAATCTTGACAAAGATGCGACTCGAACTTGTGGTGTCTTCTTCATTCAGCTTCACAACGTGGAATACGGTCCAATCGATCGCATCGGAAGACAACAGATAGCCAAAGAATTGCGCGATGATGCGTAGTCGATTGGTCTCAAATCGGTGGATCGTCTCGTAGTACTTCATGAACTGATCTTGGAACAGGTCCTTCCAGAGCCGGTTCAGCTTGCAGAAACGCTCACCAATGAGACCGAAGAACTTGTTGAAAGTGCGCTCCTGACTGCAACATTCGATGATCATGGAGGGCAGTTCGTCTTCTCGGCCGGCCGGCAAGTTGATCCTCATGAGCTTGTGGCAAGCTTCTTCAAAGGTACCAGACGACATAATCGTCAGGTAGATGGAACGACGGAGATTGACCAGATCGGTATTGGACTGATCCTTGATTTCCATCGCCCTCTCCTCCGCATCGTTCTCGTCCTCATCACTGGATTCTTCATCGCTGTCCTCCGCCTCGTCCTCGTCGCTGTCCTCAGCCTCGCCAAGAATTTCGGCCTTCAGCTTCTTGTATGCCTCTTCATTCGCTTCGTACTCGGCGTCAAATTTGAATATGTTCAATCCGTCTTCTGTTTTCAACTTCTCATCATCCAACGATGGTCGATGCGTAATTTGGTCTTCCTCTTCTACCAGATCTAACTCTTCCCTCACCGCTTGATGGTCCTTGTACTTGTCCTTCCGGATCTGGAACAGGACCTCGATCATGTACTGTACTCGCTTATCGATGTCCGCTTCATGCAGGATGCCTCGGAACTGATCGTAAACTGCCAGTGCTATAGAGGAGTTCATCTCCTCGATGTGCTGACCCACTTCTTTCATCAAGCCAACAGCAATCTCAACACTATCATCCGTCGGCTTGTGGAGAAGGAGCAACAGCATTTGGGCTGCAAGCATCTCATGCGCGGCCTGCTGATTGATCAAGTGTGCAATGAATGTGGTGCTGCTGTGGCATACACTCTTGTCGTTCCTCTTGTACGCTTTGCGGAACTGGATGATCAGTCTGTTGATCAACAGCTCGCCAACTTGTGGCAGCTTGGTGTTCACAATGGCGACCATCGCCGCGTAGATCGGAGTGAAAGGCAGACTGGCTGCTTGCGCCTTCATGATACTTCGGCAGAACAGACCACGCCCTCGGACCAGATTCTCATTGAAGAGCTCCGGCACAATGTGTTTGATGTTCGAGACGTTGACCTTGTTGATCAGGCCGTTGATCGATTTCTTCAGCGCCTCCCATGCCATACGCTGATACTCTTTCGAAGTCTTGTCGGTGATCTGGGCCTGCAATGCCTTCAGCCGAGCGGGAGGTATGTATGTGCCGCCAGATCGCATGTTCAGCAGTTTCTCATATTCTGCCTTCGCTGCCGCCTGCTTCTCCTCGTCCGTAAGTGGTTTTGCCGGAGCTTCATCTTCTTTTTGTCGCATTTCGAGTTGTCGTGCTCTCTCCTTCGCTCGCGCGCGGTCGACATCGCGGGGCAGCGGACCATGGTTTCGTGAAGGCGGGGATCTCGAGTTCGAGCGGCGTCGTAGTGCTGGCGCGTCTCGTTGCGGTGAAGGCGATCGTGATATGGAGCTGCGTTTTCGCGAGCTGCCTTCTGCCGCCGCGCTGGCCTCACCAGGTTGCGGCGTCGGTAGCCGGACCGCAGACTCGACGGCGGCCATGTTACGAACCGAACAAGTCTGATTGTTGAAGCGTGGCCGATGCACACGCGTAGAGCATCGGCTCAAGTCATGTGTACTGCAGAGTACCAGCCGTCGTGAAAAGCGGACGAAGTTTGGAGCCGTTCACGCTAGCAACCTGAGTCATGTCACATGCCAAGATACCGCATAACATGAATAAAAATATGTACATGGAAGCTGGCGACCTCTATCAACTAACTATCAACGCTCGACCGCATGGACACGCTCAGCTGAGCTTCTTCAATTGAGTCTCAAGCTCGTTCTCAGTCCAGTCCCACAATTCCTTCGCCAACTGCGGCTTCTGCGCATGCCAAAAGCTTCCTCCGCTCTTAATGCCAACCGGCGTCCAGTAGTAACTGCTTCCGACCTCTTTCTTGTCTGCTGTAGCGGCCCACAGTTCATTCTTCGCCCCTCCTGGCACGTCGAGTGTGAGGGGCTTGATCAGTGGCAGACCAAACCGGGCAAAGATGCTCGACTGTTTTTGGCTAGCGTACAAATCTGTTAAGATCACTCCCGGATGGACTGAAGTTGCCGTGATTTGTGGGTAGCGACGCTGCAATTCTCGCGCGTGAAGCAAGTTCGAGAGCTTTGACTGACCGTACCGCCGGAGGGTCGCATAGGACTCCAAGGCATCCTGGTCGTAAATAATACCGGGCGCTATCATGTGGCCTATCGAGGACACGTTGACAATTCGTACATCAGAGCCAGGCTGATCGGCAGTCTTGAGAAGTGTCGGGAGCAAGAGCTTGGTGAGAAGCGCGTGGCCAATGTGGTTTGTGCCAAACTGGATCTCGTAGCCATCCTTTGTCTTGGAATATGGAACTGCCATGATGCCAGCATTGCTAGATGCGTGTCAGAATTCCAAACACATTTTGCGGCGCCATGAAGACGTACTTGATCAAAATATCAAGGCGATCGGAGCGAGCCTTGAACTCCTCCGCTGCATCTTTGACCGAAGCAAGAGATGTCAGATCAAGCTTGATGTAGGAGATTTTGGCGTTGGGCACGCGCGTCTTGATGTCCGCAATGGCATCTTCCGCTTTCGACTGCGTTCTTGCGGCCAGGAAAATTTCTTGTGGATTGTGCTTTGCGAGCTGCAAGACGGCCTCTTTGCCGAGACCAATGTTTCCTTGTCCTTGTCAGATCGCGTATTTTGCTCGTAACGCGGTCCAAACTCACCGCCCGTGATCAGGATCACTTTCCCGGAGAGATCAGGTATGTCCTTTTCAGGTGTAAAGCTCTTGCCGAAGAACCAGTCGAACATGGTGTTTGCTGTATGAAAATTTGAGTGCTGACACGAGTAGCGATGGCCGATTGCTCTTTCTTATTCAACTGTGTATGAGGGCTTGTGTTGCGTGATCGAGTGATGATATGGCATCCGAGGACGTTCGTTCTCTACATGTATGCTATCAGAGACGCCACGCTGTCGCTGTCGGACGAACCTCCTCCTAGCGGATCCCACACACTTACGGCCGCACTGCTTGAGACGGTTCAAATATTTAAAGTTTGGGTGCAGATCATCATACAGACGCCTTAACGCCTCAAGAATTTGTCGCCATGCCATCTCTCTGTTCCTGTGCCTACATGATGGCGCACAGCCACGAGACGTCTGGACTCGATTATTTGCGTGATACTACAGTGTAATCTGTCTATAGCGATCTTCCGGGTAACGATATCTCGTTATATCGATACGCTTTCTTGCCCACCATGGTTTTTGGGTGGGCGGAGCGATATATCGATATCGTTCTTAGTCGGGGAGTGCGCACGGCCCTTGGCAGCAGTAATATCGTTGTCGGAGGGCCTGCCGACTAGACTTGGCAGTCGGATTTACTGTCGGAGCGCCGGATGATACCTGTTTGGCTCATGACCAATCGAAAAATGCCCTTGACCAAGGGTCACATGACCACTTTTGGTAACGATTCCTCTTTATTACGATACGGAGGTCTGCCCACCGAGGTATCGTTATAAACAGATTACACTGTAGGAGATAGCCGTATTCCATCGGCCGACAGCTTACCTGCAAGTCGGTCAGTCCCTCTCTTGTCTTCGGCCGGCAACCAGCATGAACGCAACGCATTCACATGCCCATGCGCCACGTTCTGGAAAAGCCGAGTGAATCTCTTGGTGAATAGTAGCTGCCTGTAGACCTGCGGTACGTCGTCACGAAGTACGGTGCAGTCAAGGGGTGAATAATCCCTCCTAGCGCCGGCTCCGAACCTGCTCTCCCACGTCCGCGGCGTGGTTGTGTGCTTGTTGCATGCGTGCGCATTCCTTGGCCGCAGCAGCAGCCCACAAAACGTGCCGAGTCCGACGGACGTGAACGACCGTTGAGCGACGGACAACAGCAGCTGCCAATCTGGCCAGCCTTTGAGCGTTACTCTTGCCCTTACACGCTAGTCGCTTTCGTGCCGGGGCCAGGAGATGCATGTGTCCACGCACTGTCCCTCTCTGCCATCACCCTCGCCATGAGCACGCCTGCGACCCGGCATCGTCTCGTCCGTCGAGCCGGCTCACTCGCGCTGCCCGGCCATGTCCATTGACGTTGACCTCGACCACGCTGCCACCGCCCGACCCTCGCCCGCCGCCGATGTGAGCTTTGCTGCCGCCGAATCTCGCCATGGGGAGTCGAGTTCCCGCGCTCAGTCGCGCAGCTCCAGCGCCCGAGGGAGCTCCCACAGCTTCCCTGACAAGTTTCGAGGATCAAGTGAGACGAGGTCCAGCACTGCCGAGGCCACGTCGAACCAGGCCGATAGCATAGGCCAGAGCAAAATACCACAACGGGTCAGGAAGCCTGGTGGGTTCTTGCTAGGCTCAGTACTCAGCAACGGACACGTCAGAGCCTCCGACCACGCCCCTGGGCTGAGCAGCAAGCGAGCATCCCGGAGTCACAACAATGGGCACATCCAGCTCGATAAGCCACGAAATGCGGCCGCACGCATCTCGGGAGAGTCATCCCATGGAAGTTCACCACTTTCACGGCAGCTCTCAAGCGAGCGGTCTACGAAGGCTGGCTCTGGCAAGCTGCCAGAGGCCCGACCCCCTGCAATGGATCCAGCGCAGCTGGTGCAGATGGCACTCAACCTGAGCGAGAGTCGAAAACGCCATTCCACCAGCGCCTTACCAGTGCCAATCACTCCTGCGGGGAGCAGGAGGGTAGTCTCTGCGATGGACTCGGGCTATGGAACCGTGCGGTCAGCGTCATCGGCGGGCAAGAGGGCCAGCTACTCGAACGAGAGTCGGATACCGACACCTGTGTCACATAGGCACAGTCCACACCGAGAGGAACTACTCGAAAGTCCTATCGACTTGGGGCGGAATATTGTGCACACTTTCTCGCCAGCTACCCTGTTCCGGACAGAAAAGGCGCGCAGATACTTCGAGCTTGCCAGCGAGCACAGGCGCCTCCTAGAAAATCTACCACCACTGCGGCCGGATGCCACTGCGCCTGGCAACTATAGCACGCAGGCTACAAGCAGCCCGGGAAGCGCCCACTATCACATGACCAGAATCACATCATCGGAAAGCGTGCATAAGCACAAGCTTGGGAGGCAGTACAACCCTCTTCAAGCTTTGCGCAATCGTCGTATACGCAATCGCCAGCGCCGACCACTGACTGCACCGACAGAAACATTTCAGGAGACCGACCGAATCCGGCGTTGGATCGATGGAGTTGAAGCTGCGGCGAAGAACAGCTCTTTCAGACCAGGTGAAGATCAGGTCCGACTGCCGCCATTCTCTGGGGAGCTTGAGGCGGACCCCAACGATCGCCCGGATACTGCCCGCGGTCACCGCCGGACTGACACCACGTCCTCCGTTATAGTAAGACCAGAAAATGGATGGATGATCGAGCCGGCGGAGCTCCTTGCAGATACGTACTGGGTTGAGAAGCATGATAACAAGACCCTAATCGAAGACCGAAATGGCCATCGACTTTTTCCAGCAAGGACTGCAACCAGCTTGGAGGCGCCGCGACGTAGTAAAGACATCACGCGACGCAGCATGGAAGTCGGAAAGCTGCAGGATCACAATGGAAACCACCGTGATGACTCCGATGCTTCTGAAAGTGAAGAGCAGCACCGAGCGAAGCACAAGTCTAAGCATATCCTGCCATTACCGCGTCTTGGTCGCGGCCACGTCAACCGATCAGGAAGCGTCTCGAGCATTTCTAGTGACGAAGGACGCAGACCACCAGCGTTACGCTTTGGTCATGATGAGGGGGGCGATGAGAACATTGGACCTCTGGAACGGCATATGCGCGAAATGATTGCCAAAGACGAGAAGGGCGAGTTGTCTTCACCAGAGCTCTTGTCGCCGGACCACTGGGACACACAAAACACCAGCTTTCCGACAATGCGCACTGGTGGAAGCAATTCACGTCACGAGATTAATGCAGCAAGCAAAGGGAGACTTTCCGTCGATACTCAACGACACCAGCGTTCCACTTCTGACGATAGCAAAGGCTCTATGGAACGCAATCTACCTTCCATGAACGAGATGATCGCGGACAGCCCGTCTTCTCCCGTCGTGCCGGATTTCTCGCGTCAAAGCACTTCAGAATCGACTTTCAGCAAGCAGGCGTCACCCGTGAAACACAAATCGAAGGGCTTGAAACTTCCCCTTCTGCACTCGCGTAGCAAAAGTAAGGAACGCAATCACATCGAAGCAACTGACTTCGCCAGCAATACGGGCGCTCCCTTGTCGCCGGTCTTGAGCGCTGATTCTGGCACCGGAGGGCCCCGGTCTAGCATCGAATCGGCGCGACCAGCTCAATTCAGACACCACAAGACGTCTGACAGCATAGACAGTGAGCTACTTCAGACGTACACGAACACGACGACTACCGCCTCGTCCACGAAAGGATCCAAGACTGCCTCGAATCGCTTCTTCAAAGGTGGTCGAGTGCGCGATATTGTACGCAACGAGAGCTCGCGCTTCGGTGATAGGTTCCGTGCCAGCCGTGAAGGTGTCAATGCTGAATCGTCTGTGCCACAGTCAGATGCCTCCGATGGCGATGTGGATCACGCTCTGCTGCGCAAACGAAACGACGAAGATAATGTCCTCGATGATGGCATCAGTCCGCGCGCGTCTCTTGAACGTCCGAGGCCCAAAGCGAAGTATTTCACTTCGGGTCTGCCATCCTTCAGGTCCCCAGCTGCTCGCGATAGAGCAGCCCCGACAAGTCCCTTGTCGGAGGATAGTAACCCGTTTGACAAGCTGCACGCGTTGTCGCGGTCTCGGCAGCAAGAGTTGCCAAAGATCAACCTCCCGGATGACGGAAACGTGTCGGAACCTGAGTTGTCTCCAAATAAAGCTCAGAAAGGCTTGACTTGGGCTGAAACTTACAAGCGCAGAAGGTCGGTCTCACAAAATGATTTGACGCTTGTCGAAACAGATTCGCGCCTTTCGAACATGAAAATCAGGAATGGCCAGGCAGGCGGCTCTGGTAAGAGGCACTGGAGCATCTCCGACAACGCGCAGCGTGGGCAGATGCAGAACAGCAGTGCAGATGATGAATTGCCGAGTCGAGTGACAGCGAGAGATATCGCTCGAGTGCGGGCGCTGTTGCTGGCTTCGGGCATCAAGGCCCAGGAAATATGCCATATGGCTAATTCCACCCGCGAACGTCCGCTGCCTATCATTGTCAAGGCCGCAGAAGTAGCGGGACATACTATCGAACCAATGACTCGAAAAGAAGAGAACGTTGCAGCCGGCCAGTGGCTTTGTGGCACCGTCGACGGCACGATTGTCGATTTGGAGAAACTGCTCCAGCGTTTCCAGGGGCAGGTGGTGAAAGACTTGAGCGTGCGTCTGGAGGCGCTTTCGCATAAAGCGGGAGATCAACTCACAAAGCGTGTGCACGAAACTTCGGACGAAGCAGATGCATTCAACGTGGAGCTCACCACGAGGATGCCGCAAGACATCAAGCGCATGGACAACACTATTGACAGCATGTTCCGAGCGCGCAGGAAAAACTTCAGGCTCCTTATCAACGTGAGCTCGAAGCTTTTTGAGTGGCTTCTACTCGGCATCATGTGGTCAATTTGGCTGATCGTGGTTGTGGTCAACAGCTTGAAGAAAGTCATTCTGGCCTTGTTCAGGTTCTTGAAGTGGCTGACATGGTTTTGAACAAGACACTTTACTAGACTTTATAATATTCTGTGATACCCTAAGAGGCTTGTAGAAAGCGAGGCGCTTTGGACAGTTTTCAGTAGAAAGCGAGGAGTTTTGGATGGGCACTTGATATATAATCGGACATAGCAGACGAATGTTCATATGTTATTGGTGTGGAGATCGGGGACATGCGTACTTGCCTCCAAACGTCGGCGGGGCTGGAGTGAAGTGGCCGACTTCCGCGATGGATGATGTCGCCTGTCAACAAACCTTCTGCCGATAACTTCTCACTTCCATCGCCGCTCGCCACCACCACCCCGTCACAATCTCCAATCTCATACGTCGCGACTCGAATCAGCCTACAGTCCTGCAGCTCAAACCCAGGCTAGAACGACATACGACGACAAGATGGCGGAAATACCTATAAAGGTCAAGCATCAAGGCAAGACCCACGATCTGGAGGTCGACGTCGAGAATGGCACAGGCGAGGACCTGAAGCTGCAGCTTTATTCGCTCACTGGCGTGGAGCCCGACTACCAAAAGATCATCGCGAAGAAAATGGTCAAAGACGATACTCCGCTCAAGTCGCTAGGTCTGAAGCCAGGACAAACAATCACACTCATCGGCAATCCATCCGACAAGATTGTGACAGACGCGCCAACAGAAAAGATCAAATTCGCAGAAGACATGACGGAGGCGGAGCTGGCACAACAGGAGGGCGCGATACCAGCTGGGCTTCAGAATATGGGCAATACTTGCTACGCCAACGCCACGCTGCAAACACTCCGTGCCATGCCAGAGCTTGTTGAGGAATTGCGAGGATATAAACCAGCTGCGCCTACTGCCGGTCCATCATCATCGCTCTTCTCTGCCGAGCAGCTTGCGCAGCACGGGTTAGGTGGCTTGAGCGGCGGCTCAGACTTGACTTCTGCACTGGGTGATCTCTTCCAGCAGATGAACGAGACACAGCAAGGCTTTCCGCCCTTGATGTTCCTGACAGCACTGCGTCAGAAGCATCCTCAGTTCGCAGAGAGAGCCAAAAATGGGCATGGCTACGCCCAGCAAGATGCGGAAGAAGTCTGGTCGCAGTTGGTGCAGAACTTGAGAGATACTCTCAAGCTCAAGGATGACCCGAACGGTTTCAAGACTTGGGTGGACAAGTATATGGGAGGCAAATTTGAGGTCACGACAACTTGTAAAGAGGCACCAGAGGAGGAAGCAGTCACTAACACTGAAGACTTCAACGACTTGAAGTGCAACATCAACGTCGAAGTCAACCACATGCGGGAAGGTATCAGCATCGCTCTTAACGAAGAGCTCGAGAAGAACTCGGAGAGCCTTGGACGCACTGCAATCTACGCACGCCAGTCCAAGATCGCACGACTGCCCAAGTACCTGCCCATTCACTTTGTACGATTCTTCTGGCGGAAGGATACCGGCAAGAAGGCCAAGATCCTACGAAAAGTCACCTTCCAGCATGAGATCGACGTCACTGAGTTCTGCACAGATGAGCTTCGCAAGAAGCTCATTCCTGTCCGCGATCGCATTCGGGAGGTACGCAAGGAGGAAGAGGATGTCGAGCGAGCCAAGAAGCGTCAAAAGCGAATCAATCAGCAAATCGAAGATGCCTCCAAGGACGCGAAGGTGCGTGGCGACGAGCCACTGCAGAAGAAGCTTCAGAAGGAAAAGGAGCGCGAGACGAAGGCAACAGGCCCTGACACAGAAAGCGACTTGGCCAAGCAGAAGGCCGCCAACGGCTCGCAGGATACCGCTATGGGTGGCACAGAAGAGGGTGTCTACAAGACCGATGATCAGATCGAGCAGGAACGCGCAGCGTCTATCCTCGCGTCAAAGAAGGAACTTCTCTCGCTCGTGCACCCGGATATGGCGCAAGACCCAGCAGCAAATCAAACTGGGCTCTACGAGCTGCGAGGCGTAGTCACGCACCAAGGCTCTTCTGCAGATTCCGGACACTACACTGCCTACGTGAAGAAATCTGCTGCCCCTGGCAAAGCCGAAGACGGGAAGTGGTGGTGGTTCAACGATGACAAGGTGCAGGAAGTGGACAGTGAGAAGATCGAAACACTCTCCGGTGGTGGTGAGACGCACAGTGCGTTGATTCTGCTGTACCGAGCTGTACCGCTGCCAGAAGTTTGAAGAGGACGGGTCGCTGTTCTTGCTACGTTTGATCATGACGGGGAGCATAATGCATCGATGAACTTGAGACGATAGAATTATGTTGAACGAGGAAATGCTGCGCAAGCGCAATGCAAACGATAGCTCGCAGCCAATTTGCATTTCCTAATGTCAAGCCGCGTTTCGAGCGGGCAACGCACTGAACGACTTCCTCTTAATATTGAAGAGGTTCTTCAGTTTCCTCATCCTACTTTCGCGTTCCTTGTCCTGTTTCGCCACTTCCTCCCTCGTCAAAGTTGGTGCTTCTGTTGACGAATCGTCTCCTTCCTGATCCTGCTCGCTCGCGCCCACGGTTGGCAGAGGCTCGTGCGATCGCCGCCTATGATCTCTGCAGGCTGTTGCTACCACTCTATGCAAGATTTCAGCAGCATTCAGTCCTGCCAAACTGCCTGTCGCTTTCTGCATTTCAGCATTGCGCCACGGACAGTGGTCGCGATGCATCTCAACAAGGTCCACGCTCGCGTCATCTGCTTCGTCATCGGTCGTTGAAGGTCGCCGGCGTGAAGCAATGTATTCTGGCTGATACATCCATAGTCCAACACGTTGAAAGCAAGCATCGCAGTACAATAGGTCATTACCAGATTCGGGAGCGCCTCGCCAGCCGTGCAGCGCTATTTGAAGGGCTTTGACTGAGCAGGGATGTGTGATGTCTGCAGGGTCGACGATGTCTTTAGGGAGCTCTTTCAAAAGTTTCTCCGGCGGGGATGTTGATTCGAGCGCTTTGGTTCTGATTTTATCGATGGAGCTACTCATTCGTAATAGACTTCGGAAGCGCTGGGATAGCTCGGGCTGCCAGACTGAGGATCGGACAACAGGTAGGCGGTAAATGTCGTCTTTGCAGCCGGCTTTGTACCACATGCAGGAACTGGAGTGGCCATTGATGATTTCGTCCTTGTACCGCTCTGCTAGAGCTTCTTCCAGAGCAGCGGCAATCTCGTCTTCGTCCTCGTCTACTTCATCGTTCGGCTTGTTCTCGTCTTCATTTTGCGATGGGCGTGGCGTTGTGTCCAGGCTGACGACCACTCGTTTCTCGCACCCTCCTCGACACGCGACCGTGTTCACATCGACACAAACCCAACCCCTCTTCGCCCATTCCACCTCACTGATAGGATCCGGCTTGGGATGCCACGTGCTCACGCTGCTATACGTCTTCAGCCGGGCAAGGAAAGTCTCCTGCGACCAGGGAGAGTAATTGGGAAGTGCTTTGGGTTCAACGCTGCTCTTGGGCTGCAGCTTCAACGGCGACGGGTGTGAGTGAGATGAGACGGACGTGTTGGCAGTGATATCGTTCAAGGATGTCGTCGAGGTCGAGTGACGAAGCCTCTTGCGAGCTCGTTCTCGGGCATCGTCAAAGGCGGCGGCTGCAGCTGAGCTCCGCTTGTTGTTGGCGGTGGATGCGGCATCGAGTGAAGCTGCCGCGGGCGTAGGGTTGGTCAGCGCATCGAGGGCTTTGTAGAATTTGCGCTTGGTGGTGGCAATGGCTTCGGGCATGGTGCTGCGTGTGTACGAGCGAGCGACTGCCAGCCAATGTTACAGAGTGTTGATGTTCTTGGACTTGGACCGTGAGCATGGATAAGATAAGCTTCCAAACAAAGACGCGCCAGCACGTGCGCCGGAAAAGCATGGCGGATGATTCAGCAATAAGCTCGCTGACGGTATCCATCTTCGGCTTGGGGCTTAGGAGCACGATCCAACAACGCGCCAGCGCATCCTGCCTAGCACGAGTGTAACGGCATTTTATTACTACTGCGCTCTGTCGACTTCCGAATTATGGCTTGACTCACTGCAGCTGCAATCCTTCTGAGGCACTAGCGGCCAAGCATGTGCAATTGTGGAAGGAATACATGACGTCCAGACAGGCGTCCCATGCCACTCTAGGCTCCGCCAACGACAACACCTCACAATTGATGCCGGGACCAGGACCAGATAATCGATGAACATGGAGCCTTCGCCCGCCTCCACCCACGCTAGCGACGGCGCCCACATCAAGCTCGCTTGCCAAGCCTGTAGGGTCTCTACAAGCGCGATGCAGACATATGCTGACCTGGACACAAGGTCAAAAGAAAAAAATCAAGTGCGATAGACACTTCCCATGCGGCCAGTGTTCCAGGTCCAGCTTGGCCTGCGTGCCATCACAACGGAAGCCAAGGACAAGACATGCTGGCAAGCGAGCTGTGGATTCAGAGTTGCGAAGCCGCATTTCAAAATTGGAGAGTCTTGTGGAAACACTGAGCGGCGAAGTCGGTGTACCAGGAACGAGTCCCAATGATCAAGAGGACGATGAGCCCGAAGGCGCAGAACCCCAGATAAATTCACTCACGCCACCCAAAGTCTCCAAGTTTCTTGGTACTCCGTTCTGGGCAACGCTCACCAACGAAGTACAAGCACTTCGTGAGGCGCTGGAGGAGGAAGACGAAGAGGAAGAAAGTCCCTACTCAGAGCCTACCCCTCTCGAAGCACGGCCGACGGATGCTGCATCGTCAGCAGATCTGCTTATATGCCCTCCAGGTTCCATTTTTGTAATGCCAGGAGCACTACTTGAGCCTTCAGTCGACACACAGAGCCAGCTCTACAACATCTTCTTCGCCAACATTGATCCAGTGTTCAAGTTATTGCATCGCCCAACCGTACTACCATTTTTGAACTTTGGCAACGACTATCTAGGGCTGAATGCTCAGGCACCGCCGAATAGGGCATTGAAAGCCGCAATATGGTTCGCAAGTGTGACATCTTTGCGAGATGAAGACTGCTATGGCCGGTTTGGAGCCACTCGATCTGATCTCTTAGCACAATTTCGAAGACATTGTGACGTGGCTCTGGCACAAGCCGATTTCATCAACACGTCCGATTTGGCGACACTTCAGGCAGCTGTGCTGTACGTTGCCGCCGCTAGACAGACCGATCCCAGCAGGCGGCCGTGGACACTGACAGCGCTCATAATTCGCATCGCTCAAGGCATGGGACTTCAACACGAGGTTCCCAACACCACCACGACGCCTTACGAAAGGGAACAACGTCGTCGTCTCTGGCACAATATTCGCGTTCTCGATGCGTTCTCGTCCATCGATCGAGGCACGGAAATTCTGTTGCCCCTGACAGCCTTCACCATTCCGCCGCCGACCAACGTGAACGACGAAGATTTCGACCCGCAGTCGACGGTCATTACACCCCGCGAAGAAGGGCTCACCGACATGACGTTCACTGCAATGTGCGACAAAGCTACAACTCTGAATATTGCGTTGCTATCTCCGGGGCATGATACATGGCAGCGCCGCTTTGAGTCTACTCAAGCTTTCAGCAAGGATATCAACGAAAAGTGTCTCCGTTTCTGCGATCGATCACGGCCATATGATCGATTCTTGCATGCGGTCGGCCACTCCATGATAACATCGAGCATTCTTCGTGCGGTCAGACCAATGCAGAAGCTTACTGGTAGTGTCCCACCGCGAGTGGATAGCCCGTTCGTACTGCAGCTTGCCGTCAATACGCTGAAGGCTGGCGAGATGATCTACGAAGATCCCGAAGCAGAGGGCTGGAGATGGATCTTCTGGGTACAATGGCATGCTCTGGCTGTCGCATTGGCCGGTCTTTGCTCTGTCCGAGATACAGAATTGGCTCGCACTGCTTGGGCGCTGGTTGACAAATCTTACGACCGTAATTCCAGCGCAGTAGCTGATACCAGAAATGGCATGCTGTGGAGACCCATCGAGAAACTCTATAGGAAAGCTCAGGCTTTCCGCGATGGCACTGGAAGTACGCCAGCTAGCGACACCAGTAGTCCGCCGACAAAGAACATGGCCGGTCTTGAGCTGGCTAATCGCCAAGGTTCGCTGGACGCTCGATCATCCATCCAGCTCAACAACGGCGCAGCACCGCATCTCGCGCAGCCCCCTATCCCGTCTACTCATGGTCTACACCAAACAGCGAAACCTGCTGGTCAATGGCTAATAGAGCCATCAGTGGACTTTTCTCTCGACCCTATGAACAATCTCCCGACTGAGATGCCCGGCTTCAACAATGGAGACATGTCCTGGGACTGGGAAAGGATCATGGAAGACGTGTCGAACATGCCCACATCGATCGGCTTCAACGAGGCGGACCTCATTTCTCAAGATATAAATTACAATTTCGGGAACATGAATATACCTCCGGACATACACGGCGGGTGGAGATTCGGGACTCAGTAATCTCCCAAGGCGTTTCGCAACGCGCGAATACATGTACACTACGTGCGACGATAATACAGTGTACGTTCGATCTTGTGAGGCATAGACTCGACTCTACCTTATGAATAGTACCGACGTGCGCATACTCTGCTTAGCATAGAAGCAATAGTAGGAGCACTCCGTTCAATTGAAACGTGGAGAAATCTCGATGGCAGCACAATCAGTTCCATTGTATTCCCATGCATTGATGACACCCAAGCCGAAAGCTTTCACGACCCAACGCCACGCCAAAGCCGCTATGAACGCTTCTTAAAATCAAATCGACCACAGAGTCGCTTTCCCTCACAGCCTCACTTCTCTGCTCTCCTCGCCATCATCAGTCTCACTAAAACCTTCAAAAGCAAGCTCACTTTCCTCGCCATCATCATCGCCTAGCCCGCCAACATCTTGTGTCTGTTTGACATCTGGAATCTCGTCTTTGTGCGCTTCCAATACATCGTACAAGGCGTAGACCTGATCACTTTTCTTCTCGATCTCTTTCGTCAAGCTCTCAATTCTGCCCAGACAAGCGAGTCGTACGCGCCTTGCCATGCCAGGATCATGCGAGGTGTATGCCTTGTTCTCAATATCCCGTTCGGCTTTCAGTCGAGAGATCTCCTCTTCCAGATGCTTGATCACTGTTGTGAGGGCCAAGACGGGGGCTTGAGAAGGTCGAACAGTGATATCTGTAGCATCGGGGTTGTACATGGAGCGATCAGTGACTGGCACAGGCATAGTGGTCTCACCCAGTGCCACCGTGATATCTGGAACAATGAATGCAGACGTGAGACCCTCACTCGCCGTAGAGCGGCGCCGTCGGCGGCCAGTATTGCTGATCGAGGAGACATCACCAACAGTTTCGTGACCAGAGTGTGAGATCTCGTCCGCGGTATGTGGAGATTGCACTCGGACGGTCTTGGTGAGCTCGAGTTGCACAGTGCCATCGTCTGCGCCAGCGCCACCCGTAGTATCCTTCATGGACGACTTTCTTGTCACCGAACGTTGAGTGACTGAGCGCAAAGTGGAATCTGCTGCAGTTTGAGTCTGGTCGTGCTTTTTGGCATGCCTGGCACGCATCTCATCCTCGAGCTTGCGTCGGAGACTTGCGACATCTACTGGATCCAGGTCCGTGAGCTGGGTCAGGTCTTCCTCGAACTTGTCGGCGTATTTCGAAGAGTGACGCGAGCGATGTGTAAATCCCGTTGTAAAGGCGCGCTCGCTGTGGTCCATTGTACTCTTAGCATTTTGTGTATGCTGCTGGTGTGCGCCGGCGTCGACTTCCTGACGCTGCGGGCGTTGTTTGGACTGGGATCTTGAGCGTGTGCCTTTTGTCGCTGTACGGTCACGCGTCCGCGTTGAAGTGAGAGCAGCCTCTCTTTGCCTTTCGATCTCGGTCTGTATTCTTGCGGCAAGGTCCTGCTTGGTCGTGTCGTTCAGCTGTGGAATGCTCCGATGGCGGCGTTGACCAGCGGTATGCTGCGTGTCTTTCCTACTCTGCACAGTGTCGCTCATCGTAAGTCCCTCTGCGATGTTTTCGTGTCCGGCCATATCGCCACTACGCTGACTTGTCTCCTGCCTTGCTGGAAGTTTCTCCGATGTCCGCGCGGTCCTCAGTCGTTCGAGTTCCATAAGCAAGCTGGAGTTCCTGTCTTCGAGCTCTCGCAGACGCAGTTTCAGTTCCTCATTCTCTGCAAGCACATCTCCAACGCTGCTACGAAGTGACTCGTTCTCCTTCTCAAGTTCATCATTGTCGACATAGGAGGAAGCAAGCTGTTGAATCAAGTGATCACGCTCTTTAGTGACACGAGTGACAGTGATCTCAGAGACACTAATCTTGCGCTCCGTTCTGTGCAGCCTCTCTTCGGCAGCCTTGACCTTCGCTTGTAGCCTCGTCTTATCTAGGGCGGCAGCCGGTGCGGTGTCATTGTCCTCGGAACCTAGGCCACTATCCGGTCGTTGGACGCCAAGCTGTGCTCGCAGCTCTATCACCTCATGCTCGTACTCCTCCACATGCTTCTGAGCCTCGCTCTTCTCCAATTCCAGCTGGGCGACTCTATCGCTGAGCATTTGTAGAGATGCGAAGATGGCCTGCTCGTCCTGAGGGACAGCCATGGTATTCACAGGGCGATGCGTTCCAGATACAAAACGAGTCCGAGATGTGGATGTGCGCTGAACAAGTGGTGTGCCTTCGTTCGGCCCTGACACCAGCTCCGTGATATTGGGCAGATCGGGCAGCATGAATGATTGCCCAGAGGTGTATGTGGCTGACTGCACGGTGGGATTACCAAAGGCAGCTCTGCGCGGTGTAGTGTTCGCGTTCTCGAGCCCCCCATCGGATGTGTAGCGCTTGGGCACATTGTATTGGGACGACACTTGCCGTATACCAGCGAAACGAGAGCCACGAAGAGAGAAAGTCGCAGTAGTCTGAATAGCCTCATTGTCGGCTCTGGTCCTAGGAAGGCTGTCTGACACGGCGCGATTCGTTGAACGCTTGAGTGCGTCGTTCGCCCTAGTTGTTTCCGTGGCCCGGCGGACAGAAGCTTGCTTTCTCAGGCCATTCTCTGCGCTCCTCTGATTACTGCGCGACTGTGGCGGCGGCGTGTGCTCGAAGCTGAAGATGGCATTCGAAGACATGTCGGCATAGTCTGACTGGGAGCGCTTCACGCCGCGTCCCAGCTCAATGGACATTTCCGCGCTGCCCAGTGTGATGTCGTCCTGTGGAGCGCGCTGGGGAGATGGATGCTGGTCGTAGTCGAGCGGAAACGCGTGCTGGGAGGCTGCATAATCTCGCTGCGGTGTCGAGTGTAGGAGGTCCTTGAAGCTCGTCTCGGTGGCAGTCGCGAAGACGTTGTCGTCGTAGGGCGAAGCGGCGCGGCCACGCGAAAAGCGCGACATGACCGGGAATCGCGGTCGTGTTATGCGGTCGAACTCTGCACGTGTAGCATACGGAATGTCAATATGGCAATGGATGGGTTTGCCAGTGTGTCGCTTGGTGTTGCCCTCAGAATCTGCTCTGGTCGCAATGCTGCTTCTGCTTCTCGACTTTGGAAGGCGCGCCGTAAACAAACGCACGGACGATAAACATGACGGGAAGGCACGCCCCGCCACACAGCGTCACCAAATGCCGGCGTCAGCAAGACCCTTGCATGTGAAAGTACAGTGTTGACAGTATATCATGTATATACCGTTCGACATCCAGTTGCTTCGACGCTATCTATTGCAGTGATCCGCTCCTGGACTGACTGTGAAGCAGCTGACGTACTGGCATACTACGTGGGAGCCATATTTCTATTGATCCTCTAATTCCATGCGCCTTATTCTCGCGGCTGCACTTTCTCATGCCCAGATGACATATCTGGACGAGGCAACAAAGCTGGTGATGTATTTGATGCGCTCGCGATGTTCTTGGACGCTTGAACTTGCAATGACCGCGGCGGCGGAAAGTCCTCCACCAGCCCACTTCCTTGCGTCTTTTGATCTCCCACAGGCCAGCCAGAGCCATGATCAGGTGTACGATTGGCACTACCTCGCACGAACTCATCAGACTGCGGCGACGATGAGACCTGCCTGTGAGTGGGGTCTTCTCTCGACCTTCGCGAGTCCATGGCATCCCACGCTCTACTTGACAGGGTGGCACCAGCGTATTGCACCCCGAACTGTGATGAGTACTGGGGACCTTGCAAGACTCGAGCGCCCAAATCTGCTGAGCTAGCGATAGGTGCCGGCCCAAGAGCTGAGAGTAACTCCTCAGATGTTGAAGTCGTAGGCGGCAAGGAAAATCCCAACTCGTCTGGACCAGGCGTTCTCGCTCGCGACACCTCCTTAATATTTGCAGGTTGCATACGCCCATCGATCAAGACATCGAGAGTGGTGGTACGTCTACTCAACTTCGGGGTTGGAACTGGAGCCCTTCTATCAGGTCCTTGTTGATCGAAAGAAGTGCCCGCAGGCGCGCGCGAAGGCGGATGGGCTGGAACACCAGGGCGCGCGTGTTGCCCCATTGCTACTGTGTTGTCCGCATTCAATGCGCGGTCCGATATGCTTTGCAGCTCGCTACTGCGCTGCCGAATGGTCTGCGCCCTTTCTTCGAGCTCGGCACTCTGTGTTCTTATTTGTTGAAGCGCGGTCTTGAAGAGGTCGATCCGTCGAGCCTGGGCAGCTACCGTTCGTCTGAGCTCGTCCAGATCGTCACTTCTGTCCTGCGCGTGCGTCTGCGCTCGAGGTGCAATGAACGTTCGACTCTGATCATCTTCGGCTGATGCCACCAAACGCTCTTCTTGCATTTCCTGCTCCTTTGGCGACTGCCGCAGCCGCGATACATGCTGCAGCAGGGTCTCCTTTTCTGCTAGCAGCCGTTGTTTCTCAGCATCAGCCTTCGCCTGTAGCCGACCAGACATCTCCAACATGCGGCCCCATTGGTTCTTCTCCCGCTCAGCCTCTGATCGCTCCGTATCTCTCTTCCTCTCACTGTGTTCCAGTTGAGATGTCAGAAGCTTGACCTGCTCAGTCAAGTCCTCATTCTTGCTAGTGAGTTCATTCACTTCTTGATCAGCAACGCTTGTCTTCTTCTCAATTGCTTGGCTCCTGACTTTCTCCCGCTGGAGCTTCTGCAAGAGCGATGCGTACTCAGATTGGAGCGTTTGTAGTGCCAGAGATTTGAGGGTCACCTGGTGTTGTAGTTCTGCAATATGAGCTGATGTCGCCGGATGGGCAGGTGCAGTATGCAATGATGAAGCTGGTAAATACGATGTCGCCGGAGATGCAATCGATTGCGCTGCCAGAGTTGGAAGGGATGGTGCGGAGCAGTTTGAGTACGTTATGGAGGACGGCGAAGGGAGTGCCCGAGCCGCGCGTTGAGCAAAGGTTGGCGATGCGGTTCCTGGGTGAGCAGAACCAGGAATCGAGTCTGCACGTGCTGGTGAGTAGCCTGACAGATCTTTGCGTGCATCCTCTATGGACCTAGGACGATCGTAGGCCGGAGCGCGATAGGACTGATGTATTGACTCGGACGCACCTGACCTTGGGCGTTTTTGTGCTGTCTCGTCCCAATCCCATGGAGCAGCGGATCGTTTCGATGCATTAGGCGTAGAGTCGACTTGAGTCGGCTGTGCTGCACGACCAGCGCCAACTGCATTGATATCGCGAGCCACGCCATCGATGTGATGCTTCGTTTGTCGCAAGCGTTCTAGCATCCAGTGTACACTTTGGACTGGGTGGCTATCGATGTTATTCGGACGCTGCCTTCCATATCAGCACAGAAGGGGTCAATCGAGCCTATGCCAATACATACGGGACGCGATGGACTCCTGGACAGACTTTGGACACTCTCGTCGAGTTCGAGTAAAGCATCGACGAATTCACGGAGCAGCGGCCTCAACGTCGCGCAGTGGCATGGTAGGGAATGCTGTGTCGACAACGACTCGGCATTGTTCGGATCGTTGTATCGAGACCCAGCATGTTCGTTGAGCAGTGCAATCGACGGTAGGAGGGTCGACGCTTCTGAAGTGGCATAGCTGTGAGTTTGGCTGGACGAGGTCGTGCCTGTAGCAAGCTTCGGCAGATCTGTCATTACTCCACCATGGTTAACACAGGTGATTGGGAGCAGTAACATCGAACAGCGAAAAGGCCGAAATGGGGCTGAGAGTCGCCTTTACATACCTCTGACCTGGGGAGGGATGTTAAGTGACAGTGGGGCATCGACAGTAGTTTGGCTCGTGCTGATGCGATGATCATCGAAGTGCAAGCTTCGCCAAGGCCCAGGTAGGGACTTGCGAGGTGAAGTAACTGCTGGCCGCAGCGGATCGTGACGTTCGCCACATGCAGCAGGAGTGTGGCGCTGGTCCGAACGAGATGCGTGTACGGAGGCCAGGGCCGCCCTTGGAGCAGGGTAAACCTCCGTCAGCATTGACAAGCTATTTGAGACCCCTGCATGATTTGAGCGTGATTCTCCGACCCAGGCACTCAATGATGGCGAGTATTGGCTCTCCGATGCAAAGGCATGCGCTGGTGAGGGCGAGGCGTCGTGTGCGGATGGCTGCGGAGATGGGGACATGTGGGCGTCTGGTCGAGGCATTGGCATTAGGGCCTGGTGCTCGCTCGTTGTGGCAGACTTGGTTTCTCTTGGTTCATTTCTTTGCTTGTCGGGGTGTGATCTGGTGCTGACCAGCAGCGGCATCGGGTTTTCGGTTCGTTACTGCAGATATATGCCAGCCCGATGATTAGAAGTTGTAGTTGTTGTCGACGAGCACAACGCAGGCCCACGCCCTCGACTGTAATTCTCCACACGGTCAAGTCGACACATGTGCCGGTGCCAGTGTCCAAAACATATGCCGTGCGGCGGATTTACCCAGTCCGGAAAGGTGGTTGTGTCAATGGTCCACGCTGACCTCACCTATTCGTCCGACAGAGGCTGCTCATGATGGAATGCCGCGTTTCACTGGGGCGAGCAGGCGCGCGTGCAAGGACGAAGGACATGTCAGAGGGGCAGAGATTGACCTTGCAGTCACTGCACGGGAAGTGAGGTCAGGCAACCTGAGCAGCACGCTCGCTCGGTTGGCCGCTGGTTAGTCATCTCGTCCATGCACGACGGGATCTCAGCAGCGCACCCAGCGGCGCGGGCGTGCGCGAGGGCAGACGCAGACATGTCGCGATCGGCAGCGCTACGGGAGACTCGCGAGTGCTGATCTAGGCAATGAAGGGCAGGTCCCAAAGCGCATGGCGTGGCGGCCGTGCACGTCGTACAATCCTGGCACACCTGCTGTTGTTCCCAAAGTCACTCGCCGCGCGCGGCTCTGGACGAGATGGCCTCAGCAGACAGACCACTGCTGAGGACACGACGCAGGAACCACGAGGAGCGCTGAAGGCATGCTCCGCCAGTCGGACTGCTGCGCGCGCGAGGTGCACTTCGTTGCCGGAGTCGAGCATGCACGGGCGTGCACAAGAATACCTACCGCGCCGTGGTAGACGTCAGGACCATCTTTGTCATCGACGCTTAGCAGATCACTAAGACGCCGCTGTGTCAGCTGTGCGGTTAAGCTCGCGGCAGCTCGCATCGTGCAGCCAGCAGTAGCAGCAGGTGCGACGAGCTGCTACGATGCTTCGAGACAATTGCGTGTCGCTGTCGCTGGAGAGCCTGTCGTCGGCTCCAGAGCATTCCGCCAAATTGCTTGCAGGCCTGCAGCAGTGATATGGCTGTCCGGCAGTGAGCCCTCGTTCGCTGTGCGTGATGAGCTGCACGGTTCTGATGTCGCTGCGTGGACATGTGCCAAGAAGACAAAGTTCCAACCACAAGTCCCACACGGACAAGCTGCGCCGCAGAGCAGGCGTGTTTGCAGCGGCAGCGGTGGTCGACCGCCTGCCCCAATTCCCCTGCTGACCTGATCCCGGCCATTTCATTGAAGGCAATTCGTGATGAATGATTTGCACGATCCTTGCCCTGACCAATACCGGCTATTTAGTGCTCCATTGCACAGTAATCACACTTAAGTCGTATCCTCCGCACCAAGCTAAGTCTCACCAGGTCTGGGCCATACCTGTAATGGCAACGGCTCTTCGGATGCTCAGATCTCCATGTCTGCCTGCCCAACCGACGACAACATCGTTGTCACCCGCTCCGCTCATCACAGTCTTGCAAACGCCACGGTGCACATACCACAGAAACGCCGTTGCTTCGTGGCCACTCATATCGTGGAAAGTCCAATCTTGACCCTGAGGGCACGGCGATTGCTCGCCTCAAGTCACGGCCGTAAACGACGATTCCTAGCAAGTGTCGGCAGTTTGGCTCTTGGACAACATTTCGTACTCGATCGCGAGAGTGATGCAAGGCGTGTGATGTCGTTATTCTACCACCGTGGGGATGTGCGTGCTCGTCGTTGCACACCCTCATTCCCTGTCGAGCAGTAGATCTGGCTGTCCAGAGGTCGTGGCATGCGGCTTCACTCTATCGTGATTCGCTATTTGCCGCAAGACCTCTTGACCTACGAAACTTACAGCCTCAAACCTCACTCTGAATTTGTCTGCAACAAGGTCTACCATATTCGAGCACTTTGAGGCTCTTCATTGCTCATGACTCACGTTCCGAGCATCTGCAGACGACGGGAAGTTTCGTGAATCGGAATTGGCTGACGAATTGCCCAGAAAGCGATTATTCTGTTAGTGGTTGACCACGCTCCTCATGCCTCGACTTGTGCCTGGGGTGACGTGACAATCTCGGAAGATTCGATCATTCACACTGTTGCAGTGATCTTGACTACCGGGGCGACATCACACCAGATCGACCGCTACCCTCCATGCCACCGTCTCCAGGCCGGTTCGTTCGACTGCGCACCATTTGGCTTGTCCTACCGTGCGAGAAAGATCATGCATAAACTCTTCACGGATTACATGCCGCCGAGGTAGATGACTGTATGCTGTGGCATATGTCGGCACCGAGCTGGAACTGGTATGCTGAATCAATCACCCATCGATCATACACCTTCTCGAATGTAGAACACCTCCTGAAACGGTTGCGGAGCCGCAGCACGGCAATGTGGGCAATGCACCGCATCGGATATGAATTCGCCAGTACTCCACCAGTTCTCCACCGGAAAGGATTGCTTAAAAGTCCAAGTTTACTGATCATGTCGTGAGTCAATACGTTTCGTGCGAGAGTCAATTTGCGATATAGGTTGGACATTTAGGGCAAATCCTCAAGATTTCGCGCGCGAGCTAAAGGCTATTGCCTGTCTTCCTCGTCTCGGAGCCAGGCCAAGAGGATGACTCGCATTCGCCCATAATCCTCGTGGATGATTACTATCCTGGTGATTGTTAAGATCTTTCCCATTCTTGTTAGACTCCCTCCCGTGGACTCAGGTTTGTGATTGTCTCACCAAGTCAGCAGGCGGTCTTGGAAACTTGAGTATCACTACGTGCTGGGAAGCAGGATCGAGTATGAGGTCTGACTGTGCGTCAGAATACCTTAGGGGGTTGTCTGCTTTTCGCGCTTGAGCGTTGACCGGGGCCAGATCGAGTCTGATACTTCCATTACTCAGCCATCAACGCAAGTGGCCTGGATTGCCTTCAAATACCGCGCACGAAGTTGACATCGTAATTCAAGCAGGCAGCAGAGCCGCTGTTGGATGATATCCAATGGTCTGGCAAGGGAGGCTTGTAGACTCTCGAAATCGGTACGGAATTTCCGAGTGACGCGTGTCCTTCATCCTCTTTCGATTTACATCTATACGAGGTGTCAGTAAGTAAAGCATTACTATGAGTGGTTGTCAACTCTGACGAAATCTATTGCCCTAGTCGTCACTAAGCAAAACATTACTGTGAGAGAATGTGATTTTGAGGCAAAGTGTATGACACATGAGATTCGTTCTTGGCTCAAGTTGAACTACATTGGGCCCACCATCTCTGCCAGTGGCGGATGAAGCTCAGCGATCGCCTAATTCAGAACCGAATCCGGTCACGCGTCTATTTTGCTGTACGTATCCTTCGTAACGTGGGCTCCTTTTCAGCCTCAGTAGAGCAACTTCGGAATCCATCTAGTAGCGCTTGCCATCACGGAGCACGTCGGAGTACTCCTCGAGAGGTGAGCGGGTGAGCTTGGTCTCCTTCCAGAGGTTAGGAGTGAGGAAGCCGTAGGTGTTGGTGATGGCAACGAAAGTGGCCTTGAGGGTGTTCTCGAGGGTCTTGGTGGATCCGGAAGAGGCAGTGTAGATGTCGTTGACACCTGCCAATTGCAACAGACGCTTGACAGCTGGAGAAGCGACCAAGCCAGTACCGCGAGGAGCTGGGATGAGCTGGAAATTGTTAGTTGCTGAACTGTCAAGAAGAGGATTTGTTACGCCGAAACTTACACGAACGGTGACGGAACCGCACTTGCCAGACTCCTTCACTGGGATGGAGTGAGGCTCACCGAGGTTGGTTCCCCAGTAACCACGGCGGATTGGCACGACCGAGAGCTTTGCGATGATGATGGCAGCACGGATGGCAGTAGCGACTTCCTTGGAGGTCTTGATGCCAAGACCGATGTGGCCCTCGCTGTCTCCGATCACGACGATGGCCTTGAAACGGGTACGCTGACCAGCACGGGTCTGCTTCTGGACTGGCTTGATCTGTAGACAATGTATCAGCCATTTTTGCTCCCCATATCATGTGTATGCGCCAAGTCTGACCTTCATGACCTCGTCCTTGAGCTTTGGCAAGAAGAAGTCGACGATCTGGTACTCCTTGATTGGGAGAGAGTGCAGGTAGATCTCCTCCATGCTCTTGATCTTGCCGGCCTTTACGAGACGGCCGAGCTTGGTGACTGGCTGCCATTCCTTCTCGTCGCTCTTTGCGCCGCCGCGACGACCTCTGCCACGGCCACGGCCACGTCCACCGCGGTCACCACC